TGCCCTGCCAAGGCTTGCTGCTTTAGTGGAGGGCATGGTGGGCATGCACTAACGCCCTCAGCCAGAAGCAAGAGCTAAACCTGGTGTCTTCATAGTTGTTCGTAGTTGTGTTTTGATCACCCAGCCATCCAGACTAAGTAGATGTTTCTGATAAGCCAGCTGCATTGGCATACCCTTACTTTTCATTTTAAAGAAGCCCTGTTAGCAATCTGAACATCTGTACTACCCTCAGGGCACAGCTGGTATAAACTGTGTGGGGTGAGCCCAGGAACAGAAATCCAACCAATAACATTCCTCAGATGGTACCTTGTGGCCACCCCATTTTCCAAAGCCTTCTCCAGGCTCCCTGGGTCACCCCTGCCACCCTCTGGGGTGCAGTCACAGGACCGGGGACCCTCAAAATGAGGATTCCTCACACCCATCCTGTGCTAGACCAGAGCATCTCCTCCTCTTCAACACTTGCCTGCGTTCCCAGTCCCGTGCTTGTACTGTGCCAACTACCAGATGTGAGGGGATGTTTACCAGAGGTTCAATATGTTACATCCTTCCAGCCTGAATCTCAGTGAGCAGGAGTAGCTGCGGGTTATAGTCAGAAATGACATGGTGTTATGTTCATTCCTGTAAGAGATAGCAGGCCTGTAATGCTTTTATCTCCTTAAACTTGGCCTTGTTTGCACAAAAGTGTTCTTGAGTAAACAGTGCTCTCCTCAAAAGCTGAGGCCTTAAGTATCTTGCAGACATGCCCTGAATTTCCATCAGCCAACATGTGCAGCATTTATCTTATGTAGATAAAGCCATGTCAAAAACCAAAGAGGTGAACAGCAAAGCCATTGTTGGCTGGGTTCCACTGTCTGCCTTTCAGTGCCCTCAGCAGTTCCTGTGCCACCGGTGGGCTGTAAACGCCACTGCATGTCTCCCCAGCCAGCCCAAATATGGGCCTGGTGAATCTTAGCACCAATCCTGGTACTTCAGTAAAATTCTGAAGGAAAAACAATACCAACCTCCCTTCCAAAATCCTTTACTTGTGACATGTAAAGCTTCTATAAGCAGAAATAAATTATTCTATATAGCTCATTCCAAAACCATGATGCTCAGGGAACAAAAGAGGCACGTGAGGGATCAGGTTTTGTTTCACCCCAGAGATGCAGAGATCAGGACTGCCAAAGGGCAAATGTGAATAAAGAGAACATGTGGGCACCAATTGCGCTGCACTCGAGTCATACAGATGCACGTGTGCACACAGAAAGAATGCACATATAGTGCTTCTGTGTGGCACGTGGAAATAGGAACATGGCAGAGATTTGCTGGGAAGCGAAAGGCAGAGCAGCCAGGCTGTAGCCTAGCGGACAGAGAATTGTTTTTCTTTCTCAACAGTTGGACTTGATGGCACTACAGAATACTGATTGGGCACTACAGCTTAATAAAACACGGAGATGCCTTTTATTTTGAACCAAAAGTTAAAATTTTATTTGGAATATCAATATACCAAAAAAAAAAAATAATAATAAAATAAAAAATTTCATTTTATGTAGTGAAATAGCCATTTGAAAATGGTAAAATAAAGACATTTCTCATACTATTCTCTCATAGCTATTGTACACGTATTATTTTCCCTTGTTTTTTTTCTTTTTTTTTTCTTTTTTTTTTTTTCTGAATAGAAATCTAGCTTGAGCTTTAAGGCTCCTCAAAGCCTAAAGCATGTAGTGGCTTTTTAGAGAAAGCAGGTAAGTCAATCAGAGCTGTATTTTTTTCAGCAGACAGCCCTGTCTGAAGCTGTCGAGGGCCAGACAGACATGAGACTTCTCAGGAAGGTCACTATTTCAGGGGAATATCATTTCATACCCATTGGAAAATATCCTCTGACCCCACTTCATGCAGCATTTTATTGAGCTTTATGATGCACTGGGAGGTCCCTGGTCTCCCTTCAGTGTAGGGCTTATGTGCAGATCTCACCTTATTTGTGTTTAAGAAATCAAATTAATTCTACTTTGTGTGTGGTTGTTGCTCTGCTATAAAATAAGTCTCTAACAAGGCACTGATCCTGTCCTTGCCCCTGTAAGTGAAGGGTTTCTGTGCCCATATGTACACTGACCACAGTGGAGTGTTTGTAATAGCAGGATCAGGGATTCATCTTTTAGCTTGTTTTTAACAAAATAAATGGGATGGGCAACCATCCTCTGCTATATTTTACCTGCTTTATCAGGGGGGTTGGACTCAGTGGTCTCAGAGGTCCCTTCCAACCCCTGCCATTCTGTGGGATTCCATGAAAATGTATTGAAATAAAAGAGTAGAAACACACTGATAGTGCTGAGCTGTATTTCTTCTCTTTTAGAAGGCTCATTGAGATGGCTCTTGGAAATAGGACTGAGGACTAATGCCAGGGTCTGGGCGGTTCGTGTCACTGCTCTCTGAACCAACCACACTGCAATAGACTGAAGCAAAGCTGGTGGACATCTCCAGGCACATCACTAGCAATCTCATTTTCTGCAGGTATTCAGCCACACGCTGAGCTTATGTGGCACAGTCTGCACTGTGCTGAGCTTTCTTCCTCAACCAAAGACACTTTTGTTACTTAAAAGTGGTTCTGCATTTACGCCTTTTGTATCAATAGCTCTGTTTCTAGTTCTGAAGTACAGAGACAGAATGCAAATACTGGAGACATTATGGCACGTGCTTACAAAGGCTGCTGTGTCATATCCACATTAACTGGCGCCTTACACTGGCTGTTACCTGAAAACCTGATATCGTTCTCCTAGGTGTCGTTGCTCTTAGTTCATCCATTCTCCTACATTTTTCTTTTTAGGAGAGAAAAACGACAGGCCCAGCAGTTAAAGCACAGACCAGCAGACTGCAGGAGGCCTTTGGCTGCAGCCTCCTTCCATCATGGCCCAGCCTGGGCCCTGCACAGCATCATGGCAAGCAGGCCACTGTGCACGAGTCAGTCCAGCGAGTGGCTCAGCCCTGTCCTCAAAGCTTCCTCCCTACCCAGGCACCGACTGGTCTCCACTGCCACCTCACCTGCAGTTCATGCTCCCCTACAACACAGGCTTTGTTTATCCCTGCTGTTCAGCTGGACCTCTTCGAGTGATTCCTTTCACACGCTTAAGCCCTTATGGTAAGACAATGCTTTTAATCATTTCCTCTGAAATTGTGGTGAAAGATGTCTTTGGGAAGCAGCCATTTACATGTTATCAGTGAGCTGAGACACACACCATTTGTGACTGACCTACAGGAGTCTTGTCAGCATGAGGACTTTCCTTCTCCTCACAGACACAGCTGGAAGGAACTTTGCAATTACCCAACTTCTTGGTGTTTCCCAACAAATCCTGCTCACAGCTGCTTACAGGTAAGCATGCACAACCCTACTGTTTTTATTTCAGTACACTAGATGAATGTGTCAGACACAAAGCGCAGACTTCAGTCCTGGCAAACTGACCTTATCATCAGTGTAACCTGCCTGAGTTCAGCAGTGAATCTCCTGACAGCATTGTGGTTACTGTCACAGTCCCGTAATTTTTAGTGCACTGTGCAAGCTGTAGTCTCCCAATGCATGTGTGAATATGGCAGAACTTCAGCTTTACTTAAAGTTATTGCCAAAAAAAAAAAAAAAAAAAAAAAAGGATTCTGGCAGTGACAGAATAGTGTGCAAGTGTGGCTGCAAGGTTTAAACTAGGGGAAATAAGTAGGACCCAATGAGCTGTGTTTGGGTTGGAACAGCTGGAACATTAGAGATGACTGCCTCGCTGTTCAAGTACATGGATGGGTTAAAAGTGATGTCTAAATATCAAGAATGTGCTTTTTAGAGGGGGGAAAAAAAACAACCAAAAAGGAAAAACAGTATATGTTGACTTTGGTCATATCCTCAACTTCTTTAATGTTAGTTGCCACACTTGCCTCCAGTGTAAAATCTCAGAGAAGCTCCATGGCCAGTTGGAACTGGCATGTAGAAATGCCTCTGTGACATGCCAGTTCCAACTTCTGATGGCAGATGTAATCCTCATTTATTCCTTACGTGTCTGATCTTGCTGTTCCTTCCCTACACACATACTCGCCAGCAAACCTATCCTCCCACTGGACTCCCTCTCCCCCCTGGTTTCCCTACACATCTGGGGTACACCTGTACTGCATCTGGAGGAGGCCGATAGACCAACCCCTGGAGCCACTGACCAGGCAGCATAGGAGGGACCTGGCCCGTGGGATGGCTGGGGCCATCTCCAGGTCTAACCTGAGAGCTCACAGGGATGTGGGCAGACTGGGAGCAAACAGTGCCTGTGAGGGCTTTCAGGGAACGGAGGTAAAATGCCTGCTCTGTTCAACTCAGTGTCAGCACTGCCACCATTTCCATCTGGCACACACAGAATGCTTCCCTCCTCCTTCTTCCCCCCCCCCCCCCCCTCCCCCATGCAATTAAGGAACACAGTGTACAAAACACAGTGGGTTGTTTGCACACTCATTAGCAACCCATCCCGCTTTCTGTCTGTGTAAAACTTGGGCTACAGGTCTTTCCTTAGCTGTGGTATCACTTCTATTTGTAAAGTTTCTTGGACTTTTAAGCCTCTACCTGCAATCCTCCAGCTAACAGGGGTTGCATGCAGCTCCTTGCGTGGCATGATGGGGCCACCACTTCCCATCTAGGGTGTAGGTGACCTGAAATTTGGGTTTTCCCGGTTACTCAGTCTTCATAGCCTGATTCTTAGCCAGGGCAAAATTAAGCATGAGGATAAAGGCTTACTCAGCATTACAGTTATCTACTCCCAGGCTGTAAAACAAAATGGTTTACACATTTAATTGGTTTTGCCTATTGTTTCCATGTACACAGTAGTTCTATTAATGAATATCATAGCTTCATTACTGGATATCACATTTTGCTGCTTGTTGTGTACCATAAAATAACGTCAGCACATCAATAACTTAAATAACACAAATGTAAACATCTTTTCTGCTTGTTATAATTATGATTTCGGCCTACAGAGGCTTTTTGATTTGTAAGACCATTCACATAACATGGAATGTAACTTTATTTGTTTTTCTCTTGTATATAATGAGACACCAAAAGCCCTTGTCATCTCTTAACAGGATACTAAAGCAGCTCTGTTTCATGAATGACAGCACAATTAAAGCTAAAAATCAGAATTAAAAAAAAAAAAAACCCTTTGCACTGTACAATCTCAAATTAAAACAAGAAAGATAATGACAATCTTTTGCATTAGCCAGGAAATGTGATTCTCTGCCGCTGGGCTTTTTTCTTGCTGACAATTCACAGAACGTGTATATGGGTGTAGTTATAGGTGTGTGTATTCTACGCAGAACAGCAGTCCCTATTTTGTTGATCTAGTTCTTCTAATTGTTTAGTTAAGCTACCTAACTGATACAATTTAGAGTACTACATTAACACATTTAACATCAAGTTTACATACTTGCGTCTTTGAAATACTAGGAACTTTTACACATTTTATTTGGCTTTGTAAGGACTGGAATATCACAGATAATGCAATCTATTCATCTTTGAGAGAATATGGCTGTTATCAACTAGCTCTCTAAGGTTCAGAGTGAAACACATTTCTCCTTATTTCTGTAGCCGACTGCGGAGAAGAAGAGTGTCTTCTTTAGTGGTCAGTCTGATGTTACAGTACCGACTCTGCAGAGAGAGAGATACATGTTTAATGAAGAACAATTCTCTCTGGACATTAGAGCTAAGCCGTTGGAGCAAAATCACTCCGCTCAGACTAATCTCCTATACCGATCCCAAGAAAATCTTATTCCAGGCGTGTTTTGCAGTAGTATCTCCATGTGACCAGAGGAGGGCTCTTGGCACATCTTCACCCAGCCTGGCAGGTGCGTGCAGAGGCACAGAGCCACCCAGCGCTGCCCGGTCCTGCACTCTTCCCCTCGCCTCACCTCCCGGGTCCACCCGACGCACGGTTTGGGAATCAATGGGAAGAGGCGTCGCTCACCGCTCGCTGGCTAGAGTGGCTTCTCTTTTCCCCTCATTCCATTCCGTGTTGCTGTGGGTTAATTTGAGATTGATGGATAGTTCTTAAAAATCGTGTTTCAGGAGTTGCCTCCCTCTCCTTCCTGAACATTCATCTGCTATTAGCCCCTGGTAATTTAGCATATATTGGTTGATTTAACCCTCTGTGTCTTATCCTGCTGCAGAAACTCCTTGCCTTTAGCTGAAAAGCGCACCTGGAAAATGCACTTGCTGAGATATGTATTGCAACAGCGTTCCTTTTCACATTAGGCTCTTGTACAAGTCCTGCTCCTTCCTGCACCCCAGAGAGGTGCCTGCCTCCCAGCTCTACTCCCTTGGCACAGGACAGAGCAGAGCACTCAATCTCTTCTCACTGCCATTCATGACCACAATGGAGTTCAACCGCTTTCCACACAGGTGTACGTGACATCCTCTTGGGGCTTCATTTTGGCTAAATCTTTTATAGAAAAGATTTTAATTTCACAATCCTACCATTAACGTAAATGTTTTGTTTAAGTTTAATGCTGAAAAACTATTAGAAAGAATTTAGCAACTTTTTTTCACAATAAAATTCTTTTCCATCCCAGGGAAACACAGTTTATTTAATGTACTTTATTTTTCCCCCTCAATGTTATTCCTTTCTGCTTTTCTTCTCTTTTCTTCTCACTTTTTTTTTCTGTTTCTCCTTTTCTTCTTTCTTTTCTGGAGCAGGCAGGTACAAGAAGGAAGGAGTCTTTCATCAGCAGTCCTTTGAATTAGAGTAAATTGCAGTGAGTCCTCACCATGATAGGATCATAAACTTACTGGGTTAAACCAAGCTAACTTTCCCTAAGCTGCCAAGTTTTAGCTGCACCATACATATATGTGTTTCCTTGTGCCATTTTCTTTTCTTGTAATTTTGTTTTTCTTGATGACCCTGAGCTATGGCTTCTGTCTCATTCTCACCACTAGTCAACCTTCTTTGCTTTTGTGGTTTTGCCAATATAGGCCTCAAAGAAAAAATGGCAGAAGAGCACAAAGTAGCTGAGGTACATGAGAGAGGACCAGATGATGTTCTGCACATGGGAATGGCACTGGCCATGCTGCATCCAGGAGAAGACCAGGTAGTTGATTACACAGCCGACCAACATCTGGGTGATCTGCGACAAGGTGATGAACATGGCAAACTTGCGTGAGACTCTGAAGCCAGCAGCCCGCAAGGCATAGTAAGAGTACATAACAGCGTGCACTCCATAGTTCATGGTCATAAACCAGCCACCGCCAGCCACCATGTCCTTGTAGGAATACCAAGAATAAAGTAACACAGTAATGTGATGGTACCAGTGTAAGAAGATGAGCTTCTGTTTTCTAAGAATAATGAATATTGTATCTCCTGTAACAAAAAGAAAAAACAGAAAAGAAAAAAAAAGGGAGGGAGGAAATGAGAAACACATCAAACACAGTTACTGAATTCTGCAATGCTCTCTTCCCATTCCTCCTGCTAGAGTATATGCTTTTGGAGCATGAAAGAGCACCTCAGCAACTGAACTCAGAGCTTGTCAGATCCGAACGCCAGCTTGGGTCTCGTATCTTGGTGCTTTTTGGAAAACCCAAGAATCCCCTTTTTGTTGACTGGACATCCCCTGTTTGAATACTCCATAGGTCTTTGCTGTAAACATAATCTGTAAAAGCCTGAAGTGAGGCAGGTGGACATACATGCACCACCTCCGACTGTCAGGCTGTCCATTGTGCACTGTGACTACAAGAAAAAAGCAGAGAGCAGAAAATCTACAGCACAGTGGTTTGAATGTCTACCTGCAACTGGCTCTAATTAAATGTTATTATGCAAAAGCTATTGTGTACGTTACTGAAGGTATGTAATTGCCTGAAAAAAAAAAAAAAAAGCTTTTAAAAAGAAATTTGGTTTATGTTGAAATGAATATTCTCTCTGTAAATTCATGTTACTGTTTTAGAAAAGCAAATTTTATTCCTCATTCCTGCCTTTTTCTTTCTTCTGCTTCTCGTGATTGCTCTGAGCATCCCAATTAGATCTAACCTATACATAATTAGATACAATGAATATATATGTATCTACTTATGTGCTATTGTTATAGACAGTGTTTCCAAACAGGTACCTTGAGATTTGAATCAGGGGCCTTATTTCTACATATATATCCCTGAAAATCCAAATAAGAGTATCAGTGAGGGCTGGAACTGAAACTGCACCATCTGCACAAGGTCTCCAATAAGCCATAATACTTCTGTTTATCTCATTAACTACAAGATGTTGACTCACATTTCAATAAGTAATCATATGACCAATTTATTGTTGATGTTCGAGCTGATGTCCTCCAGTTTTAACCAAATGAGATTTCAGTGGTTTTGCAGTAATTTAAGCAGCAGGAAACCAAGAGATTCTGACACAGCAAAATAAATGGTGCCTGTCGCTCCCAGTGTTTATGCTGATGAATTGCTATCCTGTAATTTGCTGAATCAAATTGTCTTCTGAAAGGTAGACTTATTTTGCTGCACACCTGAACACAGTGAATTCTGCAGCCCTTTGAGGTTTGGCAAAGGCATCCTCCTAAAGGAAAGCTGGAAGGCTGCTGAATCACTGTCTTCTTCCTGTTAAAACAATCCTCTCTTACACTAATAAGCTGTAGGATCAGAACACACACAGATGGGATGTTAAGTTGGCTTTGGCATGCATATCATAAGTGTCATTACAAATAAATCACTGGAGAGACAGCCATTTATAAAAAGCCGCATCACACTGGATTTGGGATTTAAAAAGCTAGGCATGTTGTGGGAAACTGGCTTCTATCTAAAGATAGCTTTCAGCATTCAGAAGCACATTACTGGTCATAATTGTATGCCCACACATACATTTAAGGATGAATGCTGCAGAATGGAGGTAGCTTCTTGCCAACACAATGGCTCTAGCCCAGCCTCACACCAATATCCACAGGGTGGGTGACTGCCAGTGATGCTACTCAGATTTGTCTGCAATCACTAACTACTTCAGAAGTGATTAGCCAGGCCTAGTAGTGATGAAGGGAATACCAAGGGATTTTTTCTCAACATCTGTATCATGTTCATGAAGTTTACTGGTCCCTTGGGGATGAACCTGGATGTACAGATCTTCTGCATGAACTTGCAAAGCATGAGGCCCCAGCTAAGAACAACACTGGACTTGTATCTCCTGCTGCTGGAAGACGTGGGGTAACAAACAAAAATACAAAGCACATGAAGAGCGCTTGACTGGCAAGCTTGGATATTGGAAGGGTGGCAGTGTGTTCCTGGCAAATTGTTGTAGACATGAAAAAAACAAACATCTCTAGAACTACAACTCTAACTCTAACAAACTCTAACTGATGTTTCCTAATGGAGACTTCTTATTAGGTTATTTCCTGGTTTTCATTCTACCTACAGCTCTTACTGTGTCAGGATGCCAAATACCCTTGAGTAGTGGCCACTCGCAGATGAAGACAATGTGTAACAGCAGGAGCTCTAAAGCGGAACAGGTAAGCCTTTTTCCACTTACAGGATGCCTCACAACTGGGAATCCATAGCTGATGTCCAGCTGTTATTAGATAGCTAAAATCTATGGCTGGCAGATAGGCTACATAAATTAATGGGCAGGTTGGTGATGAGGCAGACTCTGGTCCTTTAAATACACTGGAGCTTAGTTGAGGACTTGGACCTACCTGTTCTGTTACCTGAAACTAGCGTCATCACAGATGTGCTGACAAAGGCTAGAGGAAAGCTCAGAAAGCTGAGCTGTAGTTTCAGCTTTGAAGATGTGTCTAAATGAGGCATACTTTGGAGACCTCCATCTGGACAGTCTGAGGTGTATATAAATAAATGAGATTGTCCAATATGACTAGAGCAACCAATATAAGGCCTTTATGCTCTGCCAAATTAATTGCAAAAAAAGCAGTTTTGAAACAACGACAAAGGCCCAGCTCCTTTTCAGAAAAACTGGCAGAGAGGCAGAGGAGAAAGAACAGCACTGAACTTGATGGCATTTAGAGAGAATGCTCTCTTCGTTCTGCTCTGGAGAGAAATAGGAAGACAGGGTACTCACCTAGTTCAGGTGCTTTGCTTAGCACAAATGCATATGCCCAGAATTTGCTGACAGGTCCAATGTAAAAACTCTGGTCACACACTGACTGCTTCAGGCCTTTGGTCATCAAAATGTACAGCATGTAAGGAGCAGTTCGAACAGCACCGAATATACTTTAAAACAAAAAGAGAAAAATGAAGAAAGTTGAGTAGATACTTGGCATCTACATGTGGTCACTTCAATTCATTATGAGGAAAAAAATGCCATAGATGTGCTGAAAAAAAATGAGCTTGAGACAGCCTTAAAGTTGGATAACTCTTCTGGCTTCTAGGAAGGTATTCTGAACTCATATTTGCAAAGTGGACTGCAGTAGTATTCCCTGATGAAAGTCTGGAAAGGTAACATCAATGTTTTTTATTTCATTACTACAGCAAGGAGTCTTCTGTTTTCAGGTACAGTTGGAGACCCTAATTCCACTGAAAACAACATGCAGAGTTTTGATTCTAGCTGGTGGCTAGAATATTACAAGACACAAGTTAATAAAGAGCTGCCATCAATACAACCAGGAACAACTCCCTCCTCTGATTTCCTGAGTTTTCTCTTGTCTTTCCCTGTACATGTTACATCCATGGGAGTTCTGAGCAGTGAAGAAAACAGGCAGGGTGCACAGATTGCAGTGGGATGTTGTGGTCAGGGCTGGTGGTTTGGTGCACATGCTGACTTCATCTCTTAACAGGTCATTGCTAACAGAAGAACTGACTGGTTGAATTGTTGTAAACAGCACAGATTCACTCTCATGTCGTCAGTGAGGTGCAAGGTAACAGTGTTCTGTAAATGAGAAACATGAAATTTGAAATCATACTAATTAGTGCAATTACAGAGGAGATAGGTTTAGATAACAGAAGACATCCAGCTAATGGAAGGAGATTCTGTCTCAGCAGTGAGGCACTTTGCAGAAGTAATTGCTTCACAAGATCACGCTTGCCATTTAACGTTTAACACTGTCACTTGGTGGGCCTTCAAAAGACATGACGAATACAGAGTGAAACAAGCACCTCTCAGAAAACCGGAGCAAAGAAAGGCCCAAATTCCTCTGGGGTTGAGTACATCTTCATATCACACATCCCTGTGCTTCTACCCAGGTACACCTTATCTCCCCTCTAGCTTCTCTGTGGCCCTGTCCTACCTGTCTTGCTTGGTCAGACTGGATGGTTCAAGTAAATCTGCCAAGCTCTTGATAAACATTTTTATATTATTTGTATAAAGTACTTAGATTTCCAACTCTACAGCATTAATGTAGCCAGTCCCAGTTGCCTGCTGTTAGCAGCAGCACTGCCCTTTGCCCACCCTAGCTCACTGCAAGTTATGCTCCTGTGCTTTTCCATTTTTTTGAGCAAGGTTTGACTGCACTTCAGAAAATTCAGACAACGGGTCAACACTGCCCTGTTCTCCATAGAAGCTACTAATATTAGCTGCTATTTGAATGGTGGTATTTGTTCATGGGTTCCACTGCCAGACAAGTCCTCCTGTTCTGCATGCAAACAAAAAACTCATCCTGCTGTGGTACAGGTTTACAGAAGGTATTTAGGTAAGCCTAGGCTTCCCAACACCCGATGTTTTGCATACATTCCCACCACTAGGCAAGAAAGCAGTGGTAGTTCCTCACATACAGATTTTAGACTCATCCATCCCTTCACATAGAAGGGAAAGTGCAGCCCTTCAGATGTCCCCACAGCCTGAAGTGTGGTTCCTCCACAGGATTTTCCCTCCCAGAAGTGCTGTCTGTGCACGTTTTTCTCACGTCTTTCTGGCATCGGTCCCTTCCACCTGGCAGAGAGTGCCCAAGCCTGCTGAAGGAGTTTTGAAACTGGGTGCAACTTGCTCCATGCCTTCCCTCCAGTGTTTCACATATGCTCTGCTTTCCTAGGAGCTGCATTTCTTGTTCTCAAGAAGACAGGAGATTTTCACAGCAATGCGATCAAATCACTTCCTGAGGCACTGAACTCCTCAACTTGGCCAGGGCAGGCTGCTGCTTGCCTCCTGTGTTTCGGGTGGTGGCAAAACCGGGTGGAGGAAGATCGGGTGGAAGAGTTGTTAACAATACACAACCAGTTACATATTTCTCCCATTCGCAAATACTTCAGAGCTGACATTAAAATCGCAAAAAAGGAGAAAGTCTTGAATTAGGAAATCAAACAACTGCAACTATGGGCCTTTGTAAAGAAATTGTACTGCTTTTCTAAAATATCATATATTATTGAAATTTTAAAGCCAAGAACTCACAAGCACATACTCAGATAGGAGGAGCACTGGCTCAAGCAACAGGCAGACATTGATTTAACTGCAGGTGACTCAGAATGGATGCCCACGGACTTAATCTGGACTGAAAAGAGAGCAGAAGAGTATTTGCCCTGTGGGGATGGCACAGTCACACTTTGCTGTCCTAGTGATGGCATGCATGTGACTCTTCCTGTCTTTCTGTTAAGCAACAACTGCAGAGCTCTCCTTGGAGTGGGTGCACATGGCACATACACACTCATTCTTAATTGCAGCAGGAGTAATTTCGTGGTACAGTGGCTTCCCTAAAGAGAGGTTCATGACTCCAGAAGAAGTGACAATGGCTTAAGGTGGTGTGTCAGACACCTGAAATCAGTATCAGTGAAGAACAAACTAGATTTTAGTATAATTCACAAAGGAAGGCTTTATAAATAAGGAAGAGGTAAACTGGAAGTAACTGATCTGGCTGATCCTAATACATGCCATGGGCAGGTAGCTATTTGTGCCAAAACACTTGCCAAGAGGCACGTACCACTGGAGACAGGAAAAGATCTAGTGTATGCCTGCAAATACACCTTGGATCCGGAGAGCTTGTTGTGTTTCTGCCACTTAATCTTGTTTGCTCTGTGAGGTAAGATCAACCAACACATTTCTATCTTGCAAAGACATGATGTGCAGCAAAGTGATGACACTGCTTGCTCAGTAAATCACTTCTGTTTCATTTTGCCCTTGCCCTGCTCTGTGCTGTAGCTTTTGTGAGGTATTGAAGTGAACTGCTTACCAAAGCAGTCTGTCTAGCGCGAATCATCCACAGGGATTTCAGAAATAAGGTAGCAGTGAATTACTGTACAATTACACCCTTTTGCAACAAGAGAGACTGATCAGAAACAAACTGCACCAGCTAATGCAGCTTTCTCATCTATTCAAGACTCAGAATGTCCTACATTCTCCTCCCTCCAGGCAGTGGCTGCTCTGCTAGGCTAACAAATGCCCAGTTGATATTTTGCTGGCTATAACATGAGCAAAATGCATCCATGAGTAAAATAAAATCTAAAACTTTTCCCTCATAAACCTGGTTTCAAATGTAGGCCTCAACAGCCATCACATGCATGGGTCAGGGCAGCACTTTTGAAGGAAAACTGAGGACCAGGAACTCCCTGATGTGACAGAAGACAAAAACAGTCCATAGCCAAAGGCTGCTCACTGCTCCATGTTTCCTCCACCCTGCTGTCAGAAACATGGTTTCCAAAAGCCAGAGAGGGCAGCAGGCAGCTGAGACCCCTATTTGACCCCAACTGTCACTGTGGCAGGCCCAGCTCCTCCCATTGCAGCTACTTCCCTACAAGTGGCACTGCTCAGAGCACATCCCAGCCCAGAAGCAACACTGCAGGACTGAGCAGGGAACATGGCTGCTGCATTAAAAATACACATTAAAAAAGCTAAAGAAATCCAGGCTTACATTTATCCCACATCAATGGCATTATTGCATTCTGTAATGTCCTACTCAGACATTACTCATTCTGACAATGTCTTCCTATCTAGAAACAAACCCACACTCCAACTTTTCAGCACATAATTCAGCACACAATGCAGCAGCATATCCTGAAAGCACTGTGAGATCCACAGAGAGGAAATCCTTTGCTCTGGATTTGTGCCCTAAAAAAAACAAACAAGCTGATCCAACACTCCTTGCCTATCCAACAAGGGTCTCTGCAGAGACAGTGACCAGAACGAGTGTAAAATACATTAGAAAAAGGTGTCAGAAGCAAAGCGCTTCTATTTTCTAAAGCATGCCCCTGTGCGCTGCAATCTGTGCAGATGTGGCACCAGCAGGGAGCAGCAGGGAGCCCATGGGCAGCAAGACCATGCTGTGCTGCCCAGTACTAGAGAATTACCATAGGGACTTCCTAGGGAATGCTCAGCACAGGCACATGGCCAGGCTGGTCTAGCACCCAGAGCCCCACAGCCTGGCTGGGGGAAAACAAAACCCAAATTCTGTCCCCATCTGCCCAGGAGGCAAGTCACAGAATCTCTGCCAATGCGATTCCTCCAAATGTGGTCCCAGGACACCCAAATTGAGGATAATCAGGGCCCTGGAGAGCAGACATTCCTCACCAACTCTAGCATCCACACAGCTTCGCAGCCCTTCCTTGTCACACCACAACAGTGAGAAAAAAGGAGGCAGCTTTTTTCCATTTTAGCATGCAAAATATTTACAAAGGAAGGACACTGAGTTAGAAAGAGATGTTCAAAGGTCAGCCCCACTGAAGAATACAGCGCTTTCTAAACCTCCTTTGTGATAAATCAGGCTGCATTCAGCTTTCAGGCCTGTTCAGCAAGTGTTCTGCTAGTCAGATCAAGTTTCCTTTCTCCTTTCTGCTTGGTCTCTTAACAAAATCAAATGGCCTTTCTGTGCCCTACTGCATGACACCTGCTATCCTGATGCAGGAGCAAGAGCCTGTAGAGCAGGTTGCGTGTGGCACACGCACAGGGTGTGTGGGCATCCCTTGGGCTGGCAGTGTGGGGTAGCCTGGAAACATACGGAATATAAGCAGACACTGGGAAAACATACTGAGAAAGCATCTGTATGAAAAGTAACTGTCTGGATTAAGTTTCTTGAACAGAAACGCAGCTGAAGCCACCTTCACTAGAAAAGCTCTTAGCCCCCCACTGTATAGCTACCCTTGAATCTGACATGGCCAAGAAACTCAGAAACTCCTGAAATAAAAAGTGGTAAACTAAGACCAGTATGGACAGGCAAAGCAATCAGATCACAATGTACTTGCTACCTTGCTATGGATGGGGTGATGATACTACTAACCAGTGGGAAAGGAGGTAATTCTATGGAGCTGTTTGCTTCCTCCAAACCTAAAATCAATCATAGAATCATAGAATG